CTTCAGATGCAAGTGAATCTTGCATCTGAAGAAGTGAGGTTCTTACCCACGAAAGCTTATGCTCCCAATACTTCTGTTAGTCTTAAAGGTGCCACAGGACCCTCTGTTGCTTCTTGCCAGCTAGTTTTTATAACAGCTTTATTATCTAGCAATTTTAATTTTAAATCATGATGCTTTTTTCTTGGAATAATAGGAATATGCTTTTGATTTAGGTAATTTATTGTTAGCATATCAGTTACAAAAAATAAAACACAGGTCTTTGGGATATAAAAAGAAAATTGTCACACTCAAGTCTGTCTTTTTCAAGCTGATTTGACCTGGAGTTTTTATGGTACTTCTGTTTTCCAAAAAGTCTAATGTTGCCCCTTTACAAATAAAAATCCATTTATCCCTGGATTTTTTCATATGTACATATAATTTTAAAAATGGCTAATAGATTATACTACTTGGTTAACAGCTTGTAATCCTGGAATTGTCATGCTGGTAGTAAATATATTACTGTTCACTCAGTCTCTCTGTTTATTATAGTTTCTTTGTTATTTTAAGCCTTGTGAAATTATTGTTTGCTTGTTTGTTTTTCAGTTTGTTCAGCGGATCTCATTATATGGATTCTCTCTACAATATGACAAAGGATTGCCAAAAATTAAATGGATCAATTTACTTGTCGGATCCAAGGCTTATAGCAAATGGTTTTAAGATAAAAATGACACCAGGTATGATGTAGTTTTGTATTTATTTTGAATCTACTGAAACTTTTTTATTTCACAGTTGAAATGACTACATATATGATATATTATAAATCTATATTTCCTCACCAATCAAGCCATCTGTACCCTCAGTTCCTCAGCATTCAAAGATATTCCTATCTGGCTAAGAGCATCATCTCTGTCACTCAGAGCATGGGGAAATGGAAAATGATGGCTGGCTAGTGTGGAGGTAGAGCAGAGCTTCCAACAAACATTTTGTCAGGGATAAAACCCAGGTCTCCTAATTCTCAGTCCTGTGCTCTGACCACTGGCCCAAGCTGCAAATGAATGTTGATAAATCTACCACTTGTGATGTAGGAAGCACTCATTATATGTTTTGCAGATGACTTTGTTACACCCATGCTCTGCCTTGATGATGTTGACCCACATCATAACACATCAGATTTATTTTCATAAAAGCCTTTCCTGTATTGAAGCCATTGTCGTAGACTGGAATCATAATTCATGGATATCCCTGTGCATTGCAGCTGAATAAGGACAGAGTTGTTTTTGTTTTCTTTGAAATGTGAAGCTTTCCTTATTGGCACACTTGCTAAACTAACCAGGCCTTTGAAAGGCAGGAACGGTTCCTCTTTTGTTCTCTGTAGGCCTGATCTATATCCCACTGGCATCAATAAAAAAAATTCAGTTGACTTCAATGGGAGCTGGATCAGATGTTGTGAAAGAGTCTTTTGCAAGCAGTTCTTTGCCACAGGAAACAATAGAAAACCTTTAAATTTTTGCATAAGAAAAAAATGAAATATCTGTGGTGGGCTTTGTATATCCTTAACATCTCAGCAGCTCAAGGAAGGCCCCAGAATCCATGCCCTTTTCCTGCCTCGCTGTTCTTTGATCTTCTGGAATGGAAGTCAATGTTTTGGTGGGACTTCCTTAAAACAGGCAGCCTTTCCTAGTGCTTACCATTCCCACCTCCAACATATATAGAGTTAAGTAGCTCTTTGCTTGCTCCTGCAGCCAGTAGCTCAGATGCCTCCTGCTTTGCTGTGCAATGGATTGGGGACAATCTGGAGGTCCAGCAAGGCAGTTTTAAGATTTGAACACTGATATGCGTTTGCTTCAGGATCATCATCATACTTTTTGCTAGCACTCAGTTTGGAGTCAATAGCAGGGCTGTTTTAGAACCCCCATCAGTCTGCTTTCCAATAGAATCTATATCATACCAAACCTTTCTCGTTTATTACCTTAATAGCCCAGAAGTAGAGAGTTGGTATACTTTTACACTGGATGATTTATAGCCATCCCGCCATCAGTGGAAATCCAAAGACAGGCTTCTCCGAGGCAAATCAATAGCAGACATTTCCCATATCATAGAGCCCAAGGAGGCTACAACCTATCCTGGAAAATGATCCCTCACTCTCACAGACCTTGGGAGGCAGGCCAGTCCTCGCTTACAGACAACCCCCCAACCTGAAGCAAATACTCACCAGCAACTACACACCACACCACAGAAACACCAACCCAGAAACCTATCCCCGTAGCAAACCTCGTTGCCTACTCCGTCCCCATATCTACTCTGGCAACAGCATCAGAGGACCCACCCACATCAGCCACACCATCAGGGACTCATTCACCTGCACATCCACTAATGTCATATATGCCATCATGTGCCAGCAATGCCCCTCTCCCGTGTACATTGGCCAAATCGGACAGTCCCT